ACTAATCTTTCCTTTGCCAGTCATCCCCAGATCAATCCCTCCTCTCTGGACTGCTCCTAACTCGACTTAAAAAGAACTTGTGACCTTCATTGGGGGTCGTTCTTTTGCCACCCCAGCGTTGGAATCAATAAAACGCTCTTGTTATTGCATACGTGGCTGTTGGCCTTCTTTGGGGGCTTTTCTCGCACCCTAAGATCGTCCTCTCCATATTTCTTGTGTCATTTCATCCTCTCATGGTGAGCTGGTTAGTTTGGTCAACTTGATACAAGCTAGAGTCTCACGGCATAAGGAGCTTCCCCTGAGGAACTGCCTCAGCAAATTGGCCTGCAGACAGAACTATGTACATTTTCTTCCTTAATGATTGATGCAGGAGGGTGAAACCCACTGTGGGTGGCGCTACTCCTGGGCCAGGGGCCCTGGATTGTATAAGAAAGCAGGTTGAGGCGAGCCTGGTCTACAAGAGCTAGTTCCAGGACAGGCTCCAAAGCTATAGAAAAATCCTGTCTAAAAAAAAAAAAAAAAAAAAAAAAAAAAAGCCCAAAAAACAAAAACAAAAAAAGAAAGAAAGTAGGCTGAGAAGCCACCACAAGGAGAAAGCCAGTTAGTAGTTGCTCCATGGTTCCTGCTTCTGCTCCTGCTTGAGTCCCTGCTTGACTCCACCCCCTCCCCCCATGACTGGCTGCAATCAAGATGTGTAAGCCAAATAAGTTCTCTCTTCCCTAAGCTGATTTTGGTCAGTGCTTTAGGGCAGCAACAGAAAGTAACCAGGACACAACTCTCATCAACACGGGCTCCAGTTTTCTACATCCTCACCAGTGTGGTGTGGAAGGTCCTTCTGTATATGTGTTGCTTTTATTGGTTAATGAATAAAGAAGCTGCTTTTGGCCAATGGCTTAACAGAATATAGCCAGGCTGGAACAAATATATACAGAGAGAGTAGGCGGAGTCAAGGAGATGCCATGGAGCTGCCAGAGGAGAAAGATGCAAGCTGCTAGCTGGAACCTTGCGGGGAGGCCACAAGCCTCGTGGTAAAATATAAAATAATAGAAATGGGTTAATTTAATATGTAAAAGCTTGCTAGGAATATGCTAGAGTCATTGGCCAAGCAGTGTTTTAAATAATACAGTTTCTGGGTGATTACCTTGGGGCTGAGGGACTGGGAACAAACAAGAGACCTCCTACAACACCAGCGCTTTCGGGTCCGTCTTCCCCTGTGTGAGATGCGTCTCCTCGCTGCTGCCTTTCCTGGCTAGTGACTCTGACCTCTGTCCCCGTGCCCATCGCACGTTTATCTGTAAGAAATGTCTGCTCAGTTATCTTGTTCCTCATACTCCAAGTCAGGTCCGTCTTTTTGTTGAGTTGAAGGGGTTCCTTCTATGCTTTGAATATTAACCCCTTGTTGGCATATGATTTGCATGCCCATCCCCTCCGTTCTGCAGCTTGTCTCTCCTCCCCACACATGTTCCCTTGGCTGTGTAGAACCCATCTAGTTGACAGAATCACATTTATTTCCTTTGGCGGCACCTGCTGGGACAAAAGCCATGGTTTCTTCCCCGTTTTGCTCCTATGCACTGTAGGCCATGGGCTGACGCTAAATCCCTTGTGAGATTTTTTTTTTATTTGGTATGTGGAAGAATAGTCCACTTGCATTCTTTCCCATCACTATCTGCTGAGGTACCATCTCCTCAGTGTTTGCTCTTGCATCTTCACTGAAGACCAGCTGGTCCTACATCTGTGATTTTATTTTAATACACTCTTACTTCTGTCCATAGGTCTTTCTATAGCTCTGTCCTTATGCCACGGCTGTTTTAACTAGTGTAGGATTGTGTTGCATGGTTTGTTCTGAGGAGATGCTAGTAAATGTCTGTTTACCCCCATACAGGGCATCGACGGCACACCAAAGTGTGTTCTGCTGAGTCTGGCTTGGTTACCCCCAGACAGGGCATCGACAGCACACCAAAGTGTGTTCTGCTGAGCCTGGCTTGGGAAACTTAGGGATTTAATTGGGATGACTGGCAGGGTGAGGGTTTCACACAGGAGCACAGATGAGGTTGCACACAGGAGCACAGATGAGGTTACACACAGGAGCACGGGTGAGGTTGCACACAGGAGCACAGATGAGGTTACACACAGGAGCACGGGTGAGGGTAACATACAGGAACATGGGTAAGGGCTATTTATACGCAGGAGCAATGGTAAAGGTTACGTGTTGGAACACAGATGAGGTTACACACAGGAATGTGGGCAACTCTGAAAATGCTAAACACCAAGGAGCTGTCTCCCTCCCAGCAGTGTGATTACTTATGTGTTCTTGGGGAGGAGAGGAACCTGGATGCCTCAGGAACCTCCCGTCTCTTCCATGAGGGCATGCTGGAACATCTCTGGGGAATTGCAGCTGCTCCATGTCAGGCCGGCACTGGCCATGTCCAGGCCAGGACGTTTCCACAGCAGTCGGTAATGTATTCTGAGGTGAGGAACTCCAGCCCCTCTGCCTGCGCTCCTCCTCGTCACTTTATTTATGTATTACTTATTCCAGCTGCTTGCAGCGCTCACTGTCTCCATGTAGCCATTGTAATTATAGGATTACTTTTATTTTTTTTTCTATTCCTGCAAAAAAAATGACATTTGGGGACATCACTGTTTATAAACCTGGAGGAGGGTAGATCGAGAATATTCGAACTCAGGAACATGATTCTAGAGCAAACTGGTTGGCAAGGCTCAGCACTGTGGGGCACAGGAAGCAATCACGGCCTTTCTGCTGTGTGGCGTCATCTCGGCTTCTGTGCTGTATTGGTCTAATCTACTTAGGCGGCTCCTCCATCTTCAAAGCCACACTTCACGATCTGTCTGTCGCTAAATATGGCATAATTACCCTTTGGATGGCAATGTCCCATTTTCCCATCCAAGGCAGTGTCTGGGTAGTGAAGGCTGGGGAGAGCTGGTATGTCCCAGACATTAGGGAAGGCAGCCAGAGACAAGGACAGTCTGGCAGGGGAGGCGTCTGGAGGCTGTGTTTCCGCACATCATCTGAGGCAGCCAGTGACTCCTTCCACGGTGCCGCTCCGCACTTGACTGAGCTATCCGACGGCCTCTGTCTAGAGTCACCCCCGCTGCACCATTCTCTTGGCCCTCCTTGTTTCTGGGGGGGGGGGCGCATGTGTCGGTGAGAAGCCCGCAGCACAGCGGTGTTGCCCCTGTAGAGAACGCACGCTGAACTCCGCACCTTCTGATTCCCTTCCACTCTGCACACGACTTTCCCACTCCAATCTCAGCTCAGAGAGCCACAGTGAGACCAACATGCCGCGCTGCTAATCCCTCTTCCTGTTGGCTGCCTGTGTCTTTTAATCCTCCAGGGCTGGAACGAGTCGGAAGTCACTCCTTCCTTTCTTCAGACTCGATGGATCAGCCCTCTGAGCCTGGCTCTCACTATGCCGGAGCAAAGACTGGATTTCCAAGTTCATTGTTTGGCTGCAAAGTCCTGTTTGTCAACTCAGAAGCTGAAGGTCATCTTCCACGGTCCTCACGCTCTGGCTTCAACATGTTGGTTATTTGTGGCCATTCCGTCTGCACTTGTTGACTCAACCAACCACAGATGGAAAACATTTGAAAGAAAATCATGTCTACTGAACAGGAACAGACTTTCCTCTTGTTTAAGATTTCCTAAGCAACTACAGTTACATGATGTTGACATTGTGTTGTAAGTACGCTAGAGGTGATTTACATATATAGTAGGATATATTATTTACTATATTATTTATTCAAGGGTCTTGAGCACTGGTTAGTTTTAGTTGTAAACAAGATACAATATAGAATTGCTTAGGAAGAGAGTCTCAGTGAGGAGCTATCTAGATGAGGGTAGCTGTGGATGTGTCTGGAATGGCCTAGCTTTGATTACATGAATTGATGGGGAAAGACCCAGCCTACTGTGGGTGACACCATCCCCTAGTCAGGGTCCTTAATTATATAGGTGGAGAGAGGGGCCTGAGCACAGGTACCTGGTGTGGGATGTCTTCTGTAAATGTGCTGCTTTTATTGGTTAATGAATAAAGCTATTTAGGCCAGTGACTTAGCAGAGCAAAGCCAGGCAGGAAATCTGAATGGAGATGCATAGAGAGAGTAGGCAGAGTCAGACAGATGCCATGTAGCTGCCAAAGGAGAAGGACATGCCATAACCTTACCATAGGCCACAACCTCCTGGCAATACACAGATTAATAGAAATGGGTTAATTTATGATGTAAGAGTTAGTTAATAAGAAGCCTGAGCTAATAGGTCAACCAGTGTTGTAATTAATATAGTTTTTGTGTGACTATTTAAATGGCCAGGTACAAAAGAGTGAGCGGTCTCTGTTTACAAGTTCCCTCGTTTGTACTTGTTCTCTTTCTGCTCTTGGCTGTGATAAGACAAGATGAGGACGTTCCTGCACTGACGTCCCTGAAATGATGGACCATAACCTGGAACTGCTGAGGAAGTTCCTACACTGACTTCCCAGGAATGATGGACCATAACCTGGAACTGTAGCCCAATGAACTTTTCCTCCGAAGCTGGTTTTGTCAGGATCTTTTGTCCTGGTGGAGGGAAGGAAACTGGGAAACTGCCCCTGGGGTTGGCTGAATTTTAAGGAACGACCTCGTTTTCAGGCTCTGTGGTACAGGGATATCTCTCTGAACCACGCACTGCATCCACTGTCCTGCAGGGAAACAGAACCGCCAAGGAGACAGGACTAGGGTGGGTTGTTGGAGGCAGGAGGGAAATCTGGGAGAAGAGGATTCTCTCCAGGGCAGGAGGGTGGGGCGAACCTGCTTTGTGTCCCCCACTAAAGTCATCTGAGTCACTAGGAGGGACATAAAGGCAGGAAGTTGTCAGAAAGAAAGAGGCAGCCCCACAGGAAGTAGGAATGAAGGACTGAACGTTTAACTCACGGTTCTGTTTCCAGAATGTTCCTCCTGCTGAAGAAAAGGACACCCCCACTGTGAGCAGCCCCACCCTTCGTCCGCCCACCCGCTCTCCACCGTGGATAGCTTCCAGCCCGTGTGTCGCTTTGGATTTAGTACTGCTCCGTCAATTTTATTGTAAGTGATGACCCGCGGCCTCTAAAGAATGCTTTCGCCCTTATCTCTAAAATATCCCTGACCCCCTGCCCAGGCTGTGCTCTCTCCCATGAACAAATTATACCTGGCTGCTTTCCACCTGGGCGGCAGACAGCGAGCATTTGACATGGGGGCTTGGCCTGTCTCCACGCGGTCTGTTTGTCAAGGAGCGAAGTCTTGTGGTGAGCCCGCTGGCCTGGGAATCCTAATAACCCTGGATCCGTGGGCAATTTGGGGTGAGTTATTTGTTTCTATTCTTCGTGTAGCTTTTCTGTAGAACGAGGAAGGTTATAATACCGTGTGGTTTCGCAGCCATAACAAAATGATGGAAATGAAAGTGGTCACCTCTGTCTAACCACGGACTTGGGTGCCGCCAAAGAATGCAGAACGAAATGTTATCATTCTTCGGGGGAGTCGTGTTTCATAAAGAGCCTGTGCTTCAGTCCCTCCTTTAGGGGGAAAATATATATTTATAACACATAATATGTGTATATGAAATAAATAAAGAAAGAAAGAAGCTGTGGCAGTCAAGGGTGGGCAGGCTATATTTTCTGTGGTTGGTAAGGAGGGAAACCCCACAATGGTTTACTAAGTGAATCGCAGAGGCCCCTGAAGGGCTCTGTCGAGGCCCAGTGACCCCCGCACCAGAGGCAGAATCTTGAAGCTAGAGTGTTTCCATGCATCATGCAGACTTTACATTAATCGTTGTGTGAAATGTGTGCTCCGGTTTAGGCTGCCCCACTAGGCATGCTGGCTGGTTTCCTCGCTCTGGAGCCTTCTCCTAATAACCCAGCACACAAAGCAGGCCTTGCTCTTGTGAAGTTGCGAGTCCGTGTGCTATAAACACGGGACTGAGGTTAGAATATTGAATTCCGGGAATATCAACAATCTGTCTTACCCCATTAATCAGAGATTTATGATCTCTGCAGTCTTAGGAGCCCCGGGGCCGTCTTGATAATTCCCTGTCAAGGAGAGACGTAATCATGCCGACATGTGCTTAAAGAGGCCTTTCCCCTTGTTGAGTTTATGTAGGAAATGATTACGGGGGAAATGTTGGCTGGCTCAGTGGTTCTGTGGCTTTGGGAAGAGGCCTCGGACTGGGGAGGGTGGAGAAGCGGCGTCACACAGAGCCCCTCGGACGGGGCTCAGCCAAAAGGAGTGCAGCAATTCGCTGGGCGAGGCCACCGCACATCTGTCCCAGAGCAACAAAAGGAACAATCAACCCTTGGGTGCAGCCCTCTCTCCCGGGCGCCATCATGCCATGTTTGAATCACATTATCAAGAGACAAGTATGGGTTCTGCTTGCCCCTCAAAGGACAGGCAAGTCTAGTGGGTGACCTACAGCTCATTCTTCTGCTCTCTCTGGCCCCAGCTGGCTCCATCTCAGCCCTGCGGGGTTTGCTGAGACTAAGGTGGGTTGGGAGCCTATCCCTGTGAGAGCTAAGCCAGACACCCAAGGTGGGGCGCTCAGGTCTGTCCTGACTCTTCTGCAGTTACTGTTGACTCTCAGGCTGGGAAATATTCTGGATCTCCCGCAAATGCCCAAATCCTCAACCGCTCAGGTCTCTGTGTTGGAAAACGGTGCCATTTGCACGTCCTTCCCGCACATCCTCCAGTGTGCTCTGGACCGTTTCTAGATGGCGTATACTATCTCACAGGATACAGACACCATGTAAGCTGTTGTCAGGCTGGTTGTTTGTGGATGGTTACTAGGTAAGTCGGCATGTGCTCGGCACAGATACAATTCTGTTTTGAATATTCTTGATGTGGCTGGTTGAGTCTGTGGATACACAAAGCATATACACAGAGTTCTGGCCATATAACAAGTTTTCCACCACAGAAACCTGGTTTGTGTCAAAAAAGATGCATGTTTTTCCAGGCCGGGAGTAATCACCATATGCTGTGCTTAGACTTGTGCTTGAGGATGCAGCTCCTGAGAATGGCCCGCTCTACCCAAGCCAAGGAAACTCCACAAGTTAAGGGTCTTACTTAAAGGAGTTTGAATGGTGCAATCACTGAGAGAGATTCCAATGCCTCTGATTGAGTCCATGGGGTCAGAAAGACCCGAAAAGCCTGTTCCAGGATTTAGGAGTGGCTTCAGGACCAGGGTGACAGTCTGAATCTATAGTGAAGGGAACTAGTGGTGAGTTACTTCCGATCTCTCCAAAGTGTGATTGTGTGTGTGTGTGTGTGTGTGTGAGTGGGTGAACATGCACATGTGTACGCATGCATATGGAGACCAGAGATTGATGTCGGCTGTTTTCCTCCATTGTCCTCCATCTTCTTTTTTGAGGCAGGGTCTCTCACAAAACCTGGAGTTCACCAGTTCATAGGAGCTGGCTAGGCAGCTTGCTTTGTCTTCTGAGAGCTGTAATGGCAAGAGAGTCACTATGCCCTTCCAGCCTTTGTGTGGGTTCTGTGGGTCTGTGTTCTAGTCCACACACACAACAAATGCTTTAACCCCTGAGCCTTAGAAAGTGCTGTTACAAGCTGCAGAAGCCCAGGTCTTGGAGATGGTGTATACACTGGATGATACAATTGTTGATTTGCCATCAAGGACAGAAGGGTGATTACAGTGGGAGCCATACCATAGGATTGCTAGAAAGACTGAAAGAATGTGTGCAAAGAATCTTGGGCACAAAGCAATCACTTTGGGAGAGTTGACATATCAGATATAAAGAGAGGCATACCTACATTGGGGCAAGGGCCCAGTGGGAAGGTGCTCTGCAGTGTGAGGGCCTGAGTTCAGATCCCCAGAATCCAACCACAAGCTGGACATGGTAGCAGGCATCTGGAACCCCAGTGCTAGTGGAGGGGGTGGGGCAAAGGCAGAGGGTCCCAGGAAGCTTGCTGGCCAGTCAGTCTAGCTGAGAAGGCAAGCTGCAATTCCGTGAGACACCCTGTCTCGAGAGGGCGAGCGGTGGGATCAGGGCCTTAAAAAATTAACTGGAGATGGATAAAGGAAGGAAATGAAAATTGACCTCTTGATGTGAACATCCACAGGTGAGTGTGCTGGCACACATACACACACGCATGCACACACACATACACACACATGCACACACACACGCACGTGCACACACATACATACACATGCACACACGCATTTTTTTTTTAAGAAAAGAGGCACTGGAGAGTCAGCCTAGTGGTTAAGAGCAAGAACTGTGCAAAACCATTTTCTAGGTCATACACACAGCCAAGCCTCCAGAACCTTCATGTGGTGGCTGGTTCATGCCAGCCCTAGGCTCTGCCCAAATTAACTCTCAAGGCTACTTCACCCCAGGGGACCCAGGTTATGCCCCCCCCTAGTGGATCCAGGTGACCAGGTGACGCTCCCCTCCCCAGCAGACCCAGGTGACCCCCACCTTGGAGGACCCAGGTGACTCCCACCCTAGAGGACCCAGGTGACACTCCACCCCTGTGGACCCAGTGACACTCCACCCTAGAGGACCCAGGGGACTCTCCACCCCAGCAGACCCAGGTGACGCTCCACCCCAGTGGACCCAAGTGACTCTCCACCCCAGCGGACCCAGGTGACTCTCCATCCCAGCGGACCCAGGTGACATTCCGCCCCAGCGGACCCAGGTGACATGCCACCCCAGCAGGGCTTGATGAATTTTGGGGGTTCAGGATCATAAATCTGGGGCCCTACAGTGATGGGGGAACAGCATCAGAAGGGAGGAATCTCCCGCAGCCACTGGGCCAATAACTCAGAAGACCTGAGAATGTGAACACTGAGATGAAAGACAAGAGTGAAGGCTGGAGATGCCAGAGGCATTGTCCAGAATGCATCTTCAGCTCACTGCGAGCTAATCACCAGCCCTGGGTTTCCTCAGCCACATCGTATGTCAAAGTCCCAAAGAAAGACAGCCTGACATCCAGGACTCACCGGCAGTTAGTCGGCCTGATGGGAGAAGCCGGCCCTGCCTCTAGTTGGATCGTGGAGGGCATTCCACATGCAGGAAGAGTTCCTGCCTAGAAATTGGATCCAGTTCCTCCCTCTAGTTGTTCCACAGTACAGCCAGGGAAGGAATAGCTGGTGTAGAGAAGTAATAATTCTCCCCACCACACAGCTTCAGTTCTGAGGTAGAGAAGCCCAGAGGGGCCCAAGAATGTCAAGTTAGCCAACTGCCGATTAGTGGATGCTGACCACTGCTGCCTCGGAAGGCGGGACTTGGCTGGTTTGCGGCTATTGTTCTGAAGCTCAGGCTCACAGGTAGTCCTTCATCCGAAGGTGGTCACACAAGCCCTTTCCTTTAGGAGGACAAGAGTAGAAGGACCTGTGGGTGTGGCGGACCCATACAACTTAGCCCTTTATCACAATACCCTTGCTCGAAGTACTTCTTAACTGAGGAACCTTGTCCCCTCTGTCTCTCTTCTGGGGTTGACAAGCATCCTTCTTGGCTCTTCCTTAACATAAAATATAGTCTTCCTTTGAGCCTGAAATTGCCCAGGCTCCATTCCCCTCCGATCCCAGGGACCACTTACTCAGAGCAGTTGGAGCAAAGTCGGCTTCATTTAGTTCACAGAAGGGGTGGAGGGAAACCAGGGCATTCTTAGGAGAAAGCCAAGCCGTTCTGTCTGTCTCATCCTCTTTCCCCCTTCTCCTTTCTGTCCTCCTCCTTCTTTTCTTTCCCTTACCCAAAGGACATTTACCTATGTGTACTATGTGGCAGCCCAAGGTGAGATGAGAGAGATTTGGAAACCAATCCTTGCCGCTGTCTTAGGAGCGCACACGGATGGAGAGTCAGACAAGAATGTGCATGAACATGGAAGAGGGTCAGTAGAAACAGGAGCAGGGGGAGACCAAAAGCGCCGTTCCCGCCTATGCAGCCAACGTGCAGCACATGCCCCAGAGCCTCCTGAGAAAGGCCGTCTTACTCCTGAGGGGCCCCTCAGCTTCTGATCTGAAGCCATGCTGTTCTGGGGGTGTACACCATCTAACAACTGAGAAGAAGAAGGGCCTGGGCCTCAGCAGTGTCCTCTGTGAGTGTCTTCTCCGGAGGCAGGAGAACAGACCTTGGTGTACAGCGTCTGTTTGGGCTTCCCCAGAGCACTGTCAGGTGACATGAGGGTGGGGTGGGTGAGCTAAACACATGGTCTCGGGTGCCTTTGTCTGGTGGCTCCTCAATATTTTTTTTTTTTGAGACAGGGCTTCTCTGTAGCTTTGAAGCCTGTCCTGGGACTCACTCTAGACGCCAGGCTGGCCTTGAACTCACAAAGTTCCGCCTGCCTC